AGACCTCCGAAGAGACTGGTCGTGTGTGTATTTTCAGATGCACCCCTGCTTCTGAGCAGCAGAAACCTGGGAAGGTAAGGAGAGAGTTTTATTTTTTTTTTTGCTTACCCAGCAATGCCTTAATATGTGGTCTTGTGTAGCTATGCTAAATATTCTTTTTCCTCTTTTGTTCATCCCTGAGATGAAGAGAGGAAGCTTAAGCCTGGTTCCTGAGATGTGAAGATGAAGTTTAAGCCCGGTTCCAGAGTAAGTACATCTTGAGAATGTTTCACTGTGCTTAGGGGAATGCACAGCTCTTTTTCAAGAGAGTGCTTGTTGGCTCACCATATGAAAGAAAATGTTTTCAGTTGGTGAAATGGCCTAAGAGAGGCCATGACAGTTTTTTATCCTTTAACTAGCAGCTGTTTTCTGTTGTAGATCTGGGATGCAGTAGATGGTGCTGAAGAAACACTGAGGCTCCTGAAATATCCACAGTCCAGTGTGTATATAAAAAGTGCCTGCTGCCTCTCCCAAACGTTGACAGTCCTGTGTCTTCAAGAGATGCACTCTGGAACAAGAAAACACTATTAGTTTTAAAAATGTTAATAAGTAATTCTTTGTGTTATTTTCTTGTTCTTTGTTGCTTATGAAGTTAGACAGAGTAGGTAGCAAAAATACCAAGCAAGTAGTGCTTCAGGTGGTTTCAGTTCTGTGTGTGTAAGTTGTTGAATGTTGGTCCTTTGACAGCTGTTGCTCAGTGTTGCAAAAATCAATTGATTTGAAAGACAGGTGGAAGTTTGAGAACATCCTGCTCTAGGGTTACATACTGTTGGGCACAACCATGGTCCTTGTGTTTCCTGTCAGTCCATGTACTTGCTGGGAGAAACATACTGGCAGGAAATGTTCACAGTATGACCAAGAAGTTGTATCAAGGTTTGTACTGTCAAAATAATGCACTCTCAGCAAGCCTTACTAGCAAGCTTATATGAGCTATTCTTGATTGTTCTGCTAAAGGTGGTCCTGTCAAGAATGCAGGTCAATAGTGATGGTCAGGGTGCCGTCTAGTGACACAGTAGCATCCTCTCTCAGTTCATGGAAGTACCTGTCTCATTGAACTGTGTGGATTTGACAAGTGGTAAATACTTTATATCCCATTAGTGAAAGTAAACAAGTCTGCCTTTTTATACTGGAGCCATTAATTTAACATTATGATTTGTGTTTGGTAATTTGCATGAGGGCAGGATCACTAGGACTTCATCACTGACACATATCCAACAAAGAATGCATAGCTGATTTTAAAGGTGAAGTCATGGGCCAAAAAATTCTGTGTTCTTTCCTCAGCATTTGGTATTGTGGCTAACCAAGATTCATGTGTACTGCTTCTGAAGGTTCTAGTATCATGAAAATGCTAGTAGCGTGATGGGTGGTGTGATATGGTAGTGTCGCTTTTTAGGGTTGTGAATAGCAATTGGGAGCTTGACTGGCTCTCTGAACCAGTGAATGTTATTTTCACTGTTTTTAAGTAGAGAGTGGATGAATGGGTAAGTGCACTTCTTACATTTTCCTCCCCCTAATTGGAGAATCTTAAGCTTTAGAAATACTTTAATGTTTCACAATTCTTTGGCTTCTCTTCATTTAAGAGAGCCCTCCCACTGCCTATAAAAGCTGCCTATAAGTGGCTTTTTTCAGATCATTTATGTATGTGTGAACATAAACAGACACCCACACCTTTTACATGGGAAGTGAAAACTATAGGAAAAAAAAAATTACACAGTTATCTTGGGTGACTTTGTACACACCACTTCTGTATATAAGGTATATGAGCCAGAGAGCAATGGAAAATTGCTTTCTCTCGTTCTGTTGTGCTTCTGTTTTTTCCAGTGTTGAATGAGTATTCTCCACAGGATTCAGGATTTTTACATAAGGAGAAAACAGTCTTTATCCACAGCAAGTACCTTTTGAATTGGTCCTATAAGTGAATACTATGTTTTTAGCTTGGAAGGGAAAAAAATAAAGGGAGTACAGTGTGTGAAATTATTCCAAGTTGAAATTAACTTTGCTAGTTTGTATGAGAGGAAAAAGCAGAAGTTCCTTGTTAGCTTATTTAGAAAATTAATGATTAAATGCAGCATTTGAAGGTTACCTTACTAGTAGTCATTTTGTAACTCTTTTCACAACTGTGAGTAGTAATATAAAGACTAATGTGACTAGTTTTAAAACACTTCAGCTGGACCCTTACAGATACACTGAAATCCTAATTCAGTTTCCAAAACAGAAAGCTAATGATGGCTGCTTTCTATTTTGACTGAAATCTACCAAGGGGCAGTTAAGTGTAGAGCTTATTTTAAATGTTAGACGTTCTAGTAGGATTATATTATTTTAGCAGTTTCTTAAAAAAAATACTCAAAATCTAATCTGTTTTGGCTGTTATAATGCAAATTGTAGAATTTCGTTTTCTGATTTTTTAAAGTGTGTATTTATTTCAAGAATACATGTTTTCTTATGCACTGTATTCTGAAGAAAATTGCTTTGGTACCAGTCGGTTTGTTAGCTTCTACTGTAACTTTAGTCTGAATTCTCATAGCCTTGTGCCATCAAATGAATCTCACTTTGTCCTTCTGTTGAGACCCAAGTCTTACTTGATGAGGTTACTTTCAGCTTTTTGGGATGATATAAATAATTAAAAATTTTAGGCCTTAAAACCTTAGGCAGGTTTTTCAGTCTGAAATTTTTGAAAATACTTCTTTATGCCTTATTTTAATGTTCAGTATTTTTAGAACTCAACACTTCAGTCCATGCATAACACCATATCCAGAAATAATACATTTGCATGTCGCTTTGACTTGTAACTTGCTTATAAGAATCACACTTGTGTACTCTTCTGAAGTACTTAAATTCTGGTTTTAGTGACTTTGGGTTACTGCTTTTCTGGGTGCAGTAACAAGAATTATGTTTTCAGATGGGTGTCAGATGCATGTTTTTCAAATGGCATCCTTTGCAAGGTTACTCTGTAATGGATCTGTTCTTGTTGCTTACCAAGCTCAGTGTTGGTGTTGCTCTTGGTAAAACGGGGATGGTTTTGGATTTGGTTTACGTTAGCTTCTAAAAATACTGACAGGGTGAGCATTGTGTTTACCCTCACAAAAATACCCCTTTGGATGTTGATTGCACGTTTACAATAACTCACGATTGGTTAATTGTTTTTAATCCACTGTACAATCAACACAAAAAGAACATTATCCAAAATTAGTAAGGATGGCGCATGGAGCTAGGCCAACTGCCTTATGGGCATGTCTGTCACAATTGCTTTTATTGCTTGTATTTGTGTTTTTTTTCTGGTTGGAGAGTTTGACTGATACTTGTTTATTCACACTTATTGTCTCTTGATTTTCCTTCATGCTGTCACTATTCACATTTTATTTTTTTTCTTTTGCCCTCGCTTGCTACGAAAGATAAAGGGCATGTTAGAAAGTTATAAAGCATAGAGAAGTCGCAGGAAAATGCTTACGGTATTGTGGAGTCACACCCTGACACTCAGCTAGGTTTCTGAAGTATTTTTGTCAAACTCAAGACCTGTTCTATTTATTCCTTCAAGATGAGAAATGGGTTTTATCTCACCTTTAAAGGAAAGTCAGTCCATTGCTTTGAACTTTTATGTATCCTTCGGATGGGATACAGTAATAGTGATTTGAAAAATCTGTATGTAAGCAACTTGTGCTAAAATCACTCTGTTCAGTACTGTATTAGCACCCCTTTTTATTGCCACACATTGTAAGAAAACAAAGTGGTGAAATAAAGCAATTTTAAAAAATCATTATGTCAGTGACTTGTGGTTTTTGTGTAAAAAAACGGTGGTTTAAATTTTGTGTGTGCGGTTGCATGTTTTAGTCGATTTGCCTTGTGCACGTCAGAGTAAGCGTACTTGTTTAACTATCGAAGTTTAGTCATGAAACTTTTCTGCAGTTGAAAGAACATCACTTACTTCGTCATGTAATCTCATCCTTTGTGATTTAAGTTTTCAGCTGTCTGGTATGTTCTGTGCCTACTCACTAGTTAACTTAAATTATTTATGTCAGTTGGTCCAAAGGTGGCGAGATACTTTAATTTTCCCAAGCAGTGAAGAGGTTTACTTATCAGGTACTGCAGCTCTGCTGCTGTAAACTTTCTCAGCTCTCTTTTTCTGCACATTGGAGTTACTCACATATTTTAGTGATGTTGCTGTGGAAATAGCTTGGGTAAATGACACAGAATTTTGTATTTAGCTAAGACAGCTTTAAATACTTGTCTATAAAGCTGTCTGGTGTAAAGACTGGGTGGATTGTTTATTATGTGAAATAGCATCCAAACTTTTCCTATGTTGTTATGTATATGAAACCAGTAAGTGTCAAGTCAAATATAGAAGCCTAGTCTCTGCTATACTAGAAGACTAAAGCATCCTGGATAGTGGTGGTGTGTGGTTGCATGTCATAGATTGTGGAAGGCTGAGGGGAAGTGACAAATATATATATTTAAAAAGGGTGGGGGGGTGACTTGGGAAAATTAAACTGTAATTGTCTTGGTGACTCAATGTGCTTCTCAGTGCTTCATTTCGCAGTGCTGACTAAGATGGGTGAATTGTTGGGATTATACTGGAATGGAATTTCAGTATTGTATTAAAGAAGGAAAGAAAATAGGAAAGAAGTGGAAGCTTTTGAGTTTAAGAACTGTAGGGTCCAGTAGTGGTCTGAAAATGTCTGAACTGTATTGTAAAGGTTTCATTTCATGTTTTGCTCATTTAATGTAATTAGTTTGTATCTAGGTGTGTCTTTTTATTGGTAAGATGGTCACTTTGGGAAAGAACTTGTCTTGATGAGAGGATGAATGCATTCTATAAATTTAGTAATTCACCTATGAAAGAACAAACCTCTGCAATCATTAGCTGAACTGGTTTGCAGAATATTCTGCCATATATATGGAGTGTTTTGAGGTGGGATTTTTGCTGCCATGCTTTTTTAACATGTACGTTATCTGTCTTTCTGTTTTTAGGTCTTGAGTATAAACTTACCTAAATTCTAAAAATGGGAAGAATTTTTCTGGATCATATTGGTGGCACTCGCCTGTTCTCCTGTGCAAACTGCGACACCATTCTGACCAATCGTTCTGAGCTCATCTCCACTCGTTTTACAGGGGCCACAGGAAGAGCCTTTCTTTTTAACAAGGTTGGTAAGAAGCTGAGGGGAAACTGCTATGTGCTTTTGAAAAATGAGTTTGTGGGATATGAATCTGTCAACAAAACTAAAAAACCTATTAGCTAAAGTGTTATGTAATTCCTGTTTTTAAGAATTTTGTTCTATTCAGCTGTCTTTGGAGTCAAATTAGACATTCATTATTGGTGGCAAGCTATCTAAATTAGTTTATCTGCAATACTAAAAGACTATAAAGAAGATTGTGTGTATAGAGGCATCATGCCAAAATGCATGGTGTTTTAACTTTGACTTCTGTAACATGAGCCTCAGGTTCACTGAGAGTCTTTTGTCTGTTGAAGAGTTTCAAAGGCATTTTCACTTTCACTCAGTTAAGAAAGAAGAAGTCTGGATAGTATTCCATTTCATTTCTAAAATGCATTTAAGCTAACAGTAGTTTGGCAGCTTTAGGTAACCACAGTCTCTTTTACAGGCAATAATACTATCAATTTAAAAATATTAATTTAATTAAACAGAAGTTGAAATTTGGAAGTCATAACTGAGTGAATTGTAGCATCATTTATTAACCCTTCCATATAAACTTGTCTGTTAGACTCAGTGGAAAAACAGTGATTGTCCTTTCTTTTCTCACAGAGTTCCTAGTCATGTAACCCTTGGTGTGTTTTGATTTAGGTTTTTCTTGAGAGACATTTGGCCATTGACAGAGTTGATAGAGGCATCAGTAGTGTCTTCATTTAACTGTACTTGGCCTTGTGATTTCTGGTATGCCGAATCCTGTCAGTAGTATTTATATGTAAGTGTTAGGCTGCATAGCTATAAAAGAGCTGTGCATCTGATTTCTTTCTTATCCAATAAGTAGTGGATCCTGGGGTTCACATTTTTCTTGTGTTACATAGTGGGGTTTAATCACAGAAGTTTGATTTTTACATTCCTGCATCAGAAGCCTTACAGCTAAAGCTGAGAGTGCAAGCACAGTCAGGGTGCAAGTTGAGAAAACAGTGCAGCCTTATCTTTTAGAATCCTGCTACATATTAGCGGTTTGGATATAGCTCTGACATCAACTTTATAACCTGGTTTTGTGGTGTTCCTACCTAAGCAAGTTAAAAGTATATTTTAAACTGCTGAGATAGCACATAAAAAAGGTGAATGTTTAATGTCTGCATTCTCAGCCACTGAACCTTCACTTTTCTTAGATGATTATTTACAAAGCACCTCAAGAGTTTTTAAAGAAGTGCCTCTCTTAACATTTTGGTTCTGATTTCTCGGAATAGGTGATCACATCAGTTGCTAGAAATAGGTTATATATATTACACGTGGATTAATATGAATTTGCTTACAAGCTTTTCACCAGCATTTTCTCACCTGAAGTTGAGCACAGTAGTGTGCAGTTGTATGTCCTGTGATAGCATTTCAGGTGTCTCAGTTAAACAGTGAGGGTTATACATTCCTGTGAGGCACATCTTTAAAGTGTTACCTTCTCAAGCAGGAGATTTGCGAGGGCTGTTAACTTACTACACTGCAGATTTTGGTTCATGTGCAGTGCCACAGGCTATTTACTTTTAAAATGTTGATTGTTGTGCACATTGTTACCAAGCTTTGCTCTAGGCAGACTAATCCTTTCCATTCCCTGTCCCCTGTATATTTGTATCAGGTGGTAAATCTACAATACAGTGAAGTTCAGGACCGGGTCATGCTCACTGGCCGCCACATGGTTCGAGACGTGAGCTGCAAGAACTGCAACAGCAAACTGGGTTGGATCTATGAATTTGCCACTGAAGACAGCCAGCGCTACAAGGAAGGCCGTGTTATCCTGGAAAGAGCATTGGTCCGAGAGAGCGAAGGATTTGAGGAGCATGTTCCATCCGACAATTCCTGAAGAGACTTGAGTCTCTTCTCAGGTTCTCTTCAATTGAAACTCAAAAATAATAAAATCAACAAAAAATCTGCTTACATACACTGTCACCTTAGCATCAGAGTCGGATTCGTGGACTACAGAGTGGGAAAGATTGTGAGAGTATTTCAGATGGAACCTTCCTTTCTTTATTCCTTTTATATTTTGCTTTCCCTCCAGGAGCTGTTTGTAGAAAGAATGTTGTGCAGATTCTGTAACTTTTTCTCTCTTGCGTTTACATCTGTTAGATTTGAAATTGTATCTACAGATGCAATGAGCTAAAAGGAAAATATTTGAGGGATTTGTCTTTTGTTAGAGAGAAATCAGCGAGGTGGGGTTTTTTTGTTTGCACAAACTGATGTCAGCATAAAGTTATTTTAAAACTACAGATGTTTTTTAAAAAGTATATTCAATTTTTGGCTTAAGTTTTTAGTTAGGTTTTGGTGGGGGTTTTTGGGTGGTTTGTTTTTTGTTTTTTTTTTTAACCCGATCTTTTCACCTGATTTGCTAGCTAATGTAAAGGGATCCGAATTTGTGCCGAGTGCTAAAGGTTCAGTGTTGGTACTGCTTGGGCTGGCCCTTTGCCATATTCTTGTTGAGGTTGATTGGTAGCACAGAGCCCATTATTTCTTGTCGTTCTTAACCCAAAGATGTCACCATTCCTTGTTTATTTGTGAAGTCCCATTCACCATGTAAACTGGTGTTGATTGGAAGCTATTCTTGAAATAGGGCAAAACTGCTTGGCTTTTTTTAATTTTAACTGATGTAACTTATAAGCATAGTAGTAATATAAAATAATAGTTGTCTGTTTAGTCTTGCGTTGCTTACAGATCAGAAGCTGTGTTTGTAATGATAGGGATCCACTGAGAAACTACTGTTTCAGTAGTAATTTTTTTTCATTTCCTACTAATCTCATTAAGCAGACAGGCAATTGCAAATCTTAATTCTTCAAGTAGCTTTCTTTAAACCCACAACTTCCTATGTTAAACACAGCTGCTGTGTAAAAAAAGAAGATTGCCAGCATGTTTGTTCATGCCTCGAGTTATGCAATCTGCATCTCTTGAAAAGATTAACTTAAACAGCTTGTTTTCAAATGCTGCTTCTGGTGTTGAAACCTTTAGCTTTCAAGTTTGTTGAACCTTTTCATTGTGAAGTTACATTTTTATCTTTCTGGGCAGCAGTACATGTCAGCCTAGTAGTAACTAGTGACTTGGATTCCTGCTTTCTTCTTGTAGAGGTCACCTCTGTTTAAAACAGTGATCTTGCTTGCCTTTTTAGCAAAAATGCTCTTCATTAACTTAACTCAAGGGTGCCCAAACACTTTCATTGTGTCTTAAGCCATAAGTTAAGATCTCAAGGGCTGAAATTTATTTGAATGTTAGATATATATGATTCCTTATCAAAGATACAAGTTGTTGGGTTTTTTTCTTATTGGATAAATTGTGGTCAATGTGAAATAAGTTACACACAGATGTTCAAGAGTTGGGGGGGGGGAAATCCCACCCAACCAAACAGGTCTGGGTTCTGACCTTTCAGAATAACTTTTCTTCACTAGCCACAGTTCCATATGTGAAACTAAAATGCGGAGGGTGACTATGCAGAGTATTTTTCTTAATTTTTTTGGTTGCCAAGTGGCAATTTGGACACCCCTGACTTGAATCTACTGCCTATTTAATGTAAAAGTAGCTTTTTATTATAGATTTGTCACATAGAAAGAAAACAGAGTAGATCACATACCAGAGCTGTGCTTGAATCAAGCTGCTTAAACAATAGTGTACTTGTGCCTCAAATGAATTGGTTTTTGCACTGAGTACAGTAGTACCCCATTATCTCGTACTTCTGTCCTTCACAGGCCCTGAAAGCCCCGTTAGCATGGTTCTCTGCAGTACTTTTCTTGTACTTCTGACATTACAGTACAATAAAGTATGTTTTGTCCTGAATTGATATTTGCTGTTCTTCTTGACTACTTTTCATGGAGTCTGTCAACTGAATGACATAACCTGTCTTCCATGCCCTGCATTGAGTAAATCATTCCGCACAGTGAAAAGCTGTTGATGAGCATCTCCCTCTGAAGAGGTGGCAAAAGATTGTACTGTTAACTATTGGAAGGTGCTAAGTAAAACTTCATGTGAACCATTTGGACACTTGAAAGCCTTCAATTTACTCTGGTTAAAGAGAAAATAAAAACAGGAAATTGCTCATTTAGTGGAATTCTAGGTGCCAGATGTCTTTCCCCGTCTTTGAAAAGACAGCAAGCTAAGCAAAACTCCAGCTTCTGCAAGAAATGTGAAGTTTTAGCTTCTGAAATGGCTTAGGAATTGAGGAATTTGTGTATCTAGAATTCTGTGACCTTTTTTCTTTGTATGCAGATGTTAGGGAGAAGCTGCCTGCTAGCAGCTGGTCAGCATCATAAGCTGTAACTGAAGAACTGAGGGGAGAGGATCATTATATCAGTACAATGGAGCCTGAGGGGCTTCCTGTAACTTACATTAAGACCTCTTCATTTTTCTAGAATGTTAGACTGAGATATTGAAGACTGCTTTCCCCATAGTAATTTGAAAAATACTATTGAGGTGAATTAATTAAAAGCCTATGAGACTTAAGCAAGTCCACTGCAGCTTTAAAACATGAGACTTGGGATTGCTCTTTTAGCCTACATGCTGTTCCCACTGTATCGCCTTGATGGCTGTGTGGGAGGGTTAGCCTCAGAAATTTTGACTGCTCTTCCTTTAAATGGATGTTTTGTATGGGAATGCAGGTAACTTCTCTGTAGGGAGCAAGGCAATTGGTCACAGTACAGCTAGTAACAGAGAATACATCACTTATGAAATGTTATTTTGCTGTGGTGCAGTAGCCTTGGATTCACAAAGAAGGAATGGCTGGCAGAGTAAAATGTGCTACTACAGTGAACTTTTGCCTGGCACATGATGGTGTGCCTGTGGTCTCATAGGCAAAGAAGGCCGCAAGGAAATGACAGCACGCAACAGACTCCAGTGTGCATTTATGGAGACCTCAGAGTTTGTGCTTTTATGATGGAGCTCAGGTTAGCAGTGATGCTGTGACTTTTGCCTAATATCAGCTGTATATCAGAGTTTACATTACCTGTGCTCGTATCCAGTAGTTGCTGTGTACGTGTACCCAAAACTGAAGTACTTTGTTGAAGCTGCTGACTACCATTTCAGCAAAGCATGGCCTTGGGAAGATGAAAAGATTATATGGTGCATTTGTGGATTGAAAAAGCATTTTAGTTATGTTTTTTGTGGATGTTCAACTTTTGAACTAACGAGTATCTCATGTTTGTGTTAGCAAAGGTATGTTTAGAGAGGAGACATGGTTTTATTCTGTGGAGGGTGGAAGATTTCCACAAATCAAGCACACCACATGCAGAATTTACAGCATATTTATCTTGAATACCTGATTAGCAAAACTCTATCTGGAACTACATTAATTGGTACAAGGTTACTTAATCTACTTTCTATTGGCTAAATAGTCTCTCACTTTCTATGCTAATTAGTTCACATGTGCAGTATTCCCCTTCTTTTGGGTCAGAGGGTTTCTTGAGTCGGTGGTCGTGATCTCCTTCAGCTGTGTTTACCTTTCCCCCAGTTTTCACAACTTTTGATGACTTCATCCTCATTAGGCAACTGTCCAGCTTTTCGTGCCTATTTGGGCAGCATGATTGGCCTCTTATCAGTCTTGTAGCTTCTCTTCAAGAATATAGTCATTAGGGAGTGCATAGAAACTGATTTAGGGGTCCTTCAGTTACAATTCCAAGGATCAAGCTTTTGCTGTCCTAAATTTATGAGCCAAAATACTTCACTATAAACATACGGTTTCCTTCTATTATACTGCATTAACTATTTCACTGCATCTTCAAGGTAACACTGGGCTCTGGGGATGGCTGTGGTCAGCTGGCACAGGCTGTCTTACAGGGCAAGCTTGTCTCTACAGATTTCTGCCAGAGCTGTAGGAAATCAATCAGCAGATCATCAATGAATTAACAAGTAAGGAACTGGTGAAGCTGCAGGTCAGGACACAATTGCCCGATATAAGAAAGAGGTGGCTGGGAAGGTTGTGGCATTGATGTAGGAAGAGGCTAGCTGGTTAATCAACTCCATTTAACAAAATAACAGCAACAACAACAACTTTTCTAAAAAACCCAAACAAACAAAAAACAGTGAAGCTTGGTTTCCTGTGGATCTTGAGGGCTTTGCTGACTCCCTGATGCCTGTAGGGGATGAAATGGTTCAGACTTAATTCAATCAGGGCAGCGGTTAGGTTCGCTCTCCAATCTGGGCCCTGTTTTTGTAGGACCTTAAAGAAGTAAGCAATTTCAAGACGCTTCCCTGCATAAGCTGGAGTTAAAATTCCCCCACAACTTCAAGAGGTTGCTTTAAGTGTCAAGGAGGAGTATGATCTGATTGATGATGTCCCTGTCCAAGTGTTTTTATTCTTTGACAGTTGACAGTTTACGGCTAAAGAAAATGAGCTCCTGTTTGTTTCATCAACTATTATTTGGTAAAGATATTGAACAGCTTCTGACGAACCTTATTTTGTCAGTGTGGAGCCTTTCCTGGACTCATTGTTACTTCCCTCACCACCTGTCTCTGGTATACAGATTTCTGGTGGATGTAAGAAATTATAAGGAGAGAATTTTTTCTTCACCACCTTCTTTCACCTTTGCCTTCCAGTCCTGTTTACTAACAGGATTGGTCTTATTGGAATATATTTCTGTGATGTTAGTAAAACTGTTGGCAGTCTAATGTGAGCCTTTCACTAGGTAAGGACCTTTCTGGCAGGGTTTTGGTGACAGTATCATCTCTCTCATCCTCAAGTCTGGGCAGAGGTTATTTGGGAATGATGCTTGACTGAACATCATGCTCTGGGTGGAGGTGATACGAAGGAAGACCTTGTTCGCAGTACACTCCCATTCATTGCTGTGCTATGTTTCTTTCCATCTGATGTTATCATAGGTGGGATCTGCTTAAGTTCGCATTGTATCTCCTTTTGAAAAGGAGATGACTGTGAGACAGCAGTCTGTGCCTCTTAAATCTGCTATTTGTCTCTCAAAGACCTGAAATACCTACAGTTTGGTACGGGCTGCTCTGTCTGCTGCTCAGTTGGAAGCGGTGGCTGTGTTCATGTTTTGACATTACTGCAAAAATATACCCTGGCACTTGTCTAAGAATTGGCTAGAATCTCTCTGCAATGGGAGGCAGGTAGTGGAGGAGAAACTCGGATAAAAAAGAAAGGAAAACATCTGTGTGTGTGAGGAGGGATTCAAGTGTCACTAAACCAGATAAATTCACTTGGAAGCAGGAAAGGTGCTAGAAGTTCTAGAGGTAAGCTCGTACCTTTTCTTTTTGACCTATATGGGTTCAGGAAAAGTGAATATCACGTGAGCATTGCAAAGGATCTAAGGTCCTCTAATAAACAGGGGAATAGACTCAATGTAAGCACTTCTGTTTCTTTTGAGAAACCTCATTGAATGTCCTCACTATAGGACACTGATAGCTAAATTTCTGGTCTCTCTGTGTTTGAGTGAAGGCAGCTGGAAAGTATTTGTTCTTCAAAGTAGGTTCTGTTTTTGTTGTCTTTATCTGAAGCATTTAACACTATCAGAAACTTGTATTTCTTATACAAGTGAAAATAGGAGAAGGAACAAAAAACTATGGCATTAATTTACATTTCCTAAGTGTCTGACAGGGGTAGGTGGGAGAGAGAAACCTTATGTTTTGACTCTGCCCATGAGAAAGATGTGTACTTGCCCAACATCAGGATCCAGTGTTGTTTCCCTCTAGGAGTCAGGGATGTTTAGCTATGGGATTTTGCTTTGTCCTTTTGGAAGCATTTGGTTTGACTGTTGTAAATACAAGTGTTGAAAGAGTAAGTTTACTGAATTACAACAGACTGTGTGCCATAGTTGTTTGCGGACTAATGGAAGACACTGCAAAAGATGCGCTTGGTGAAATAGGGAGACCCTGTCCTACTAGAGGAACAGAAAGCAGAATGGGTAGCTCATACAAGGGTGCTTAGCCAAAAACCTGCCTGGTGACTTTTATCTGTCATTACAGACCCACTGAGTGTCACAATTTCCTGTCCTTGCCACTGTTTGAAGACTGTTATTCTAGGCACAACTACATGGTGGCTACAGAAGGAAGAGTAGCATGTTTAA